TCCCCCCCCCGGGAGCCCAGCCTGCTCTTTGTGAAGCGGACTCGAGCGGGAGCCGGCCTCTTTTGTGTACGTTTTGGAGGCAGACGGAGGAGAAAGGCAGGGAAGGGGGAGAAGGACGGGGAGGGAGGAGGAGAGCATAGACGGAGGGGGGGCGAGCGAGCCAGAGAGCTCCTGAAATTGACCAGCCCCCGACTCCACGTCACGTTGCGAAAGAGACAAAACGGAGCACGCCTCAGTCAAACCGGATCGTGCCACCGGATCGACGGCAGACAGGCAGGAAGGAAGGAAGAAAGACTCCCCACTCTTGGAAATATTTCGCTGTTTCCACGTTTTGGTGAAGAGGGGGAGGAGATAGCGAGAGACCCCCCGAGTTCTTGGCCGCCCCCGTATTCCCACGACCCCAGGACCCGGGTCCTGCCCTCGGGGTCCCTCCTTGGATGTTTGGACGCCAAACGCGGGCGAAGCGCGACCTGTCCGCGTCCTGATCGGTTTCAGCACCTCGGAGAGCGCCGGTTTCGGGCAGGCGGCCATGGCCACGAGCGTGCAGGGCCGCGAGAAGCAGCTCTTCGAGAAGTTCTGGCAAGGGACCTTCAAAGCGGTGGCCACCCCGAGGCCCGGCAGCATCATCGTGGCCAGCATCACCTCCCGCAAGCCCCGGGCCAGGTAAGAAACTCGCCCCGGAGGTGGCGGCGCTGGGCAGCCGTGAAGGGGGGGGACACGAGGATCCTTCTTGGGGCTGCAGGAAGACGCGGATGTGGTGGGGAGAGGCTTTCCTAGGTAAAGTAATAGAAGCCAGGATCCTGTGCCTGGCAGTCCGTGTGAATGCCCATCCTAAAAAATGGGCACGAAACTTTTCTTGGGCTGCAGGAGAAACAAGCGCACCTCCTGGAAACCCCCGTGATGAGCCTCTGCCTAGAAACTGGTCTGCATCATTTAGTGGCAAACAATAAACAGTATTGTTATTGGTCACCGTATTCTACTTTGAATTTTGGCTGACTTTCAAGAGGAAGTTGGAGGTTGTCTGCTGCCCCCCCCCCTCTTTTCCAAATTAATTTCTGATAGACCTGAACTTGCCTTGTCGCTGGACGTCATTTTATTTTTTAAAAAAATTCGATTTTTGNTTATTTTTAAAAATCGATTTTGAATGTCTTAGCCTTTCCTCCTTCCCGGCGGCGAGGTTGGCAGGAAGCCCCCTCCCCCGCCGGCATAATAACAATTGTGTCCCTCAAAGAGCGAGGCTGCTGGGGTTTTCTAACCACTGAAGTGGATTAGGGTTGCCCCCTTTAAACTCGAAATGTGTGCAGTGATGGAGAGAGGGCGGGCAGGCGGGTAGGGGGGACGCCTGTCCCTCTTTGTTGCCCCTGTAAAAAGCCATGATGTGTGTCAGAACAATTGGGTGTTTTAGAAGTGTGCCAGGGTTACTGGTCTGTGTCATTCAGCCTTTAAGAAGTGCAGCATGCAAAGGAGAAAGGAACTCCACGTGGTTGGCTGGGGAAGAGTCTCCGACCCCACACCCTAGACATCTAGGCAGAATGCCCAAGTACACCTATTTTTACAAATAAAAGTATCACTCTGATTTCCCCCCTTCTGGGAACATTCTGGGCCCCAGTTTTCCCCCCGTACCGCCGTTTTGCAGGGTGTGTGCATTTTATTTCTGAGATATAGACCCATAAGCAACGAACTCATGCAAACCATCTGCACGATTTTGCCACTGTTTGTTGAATAGGCTGCCGAGGAGAAGGGCAAGACCTCCCCACAGCTCGTGGAAGCGGTGGGCTGTCTTGTCTCAGGCAAAATCCACCAACTAGCTATATTCTTTTTTTCCCCTTCCACTGTTGCTTCCTTCAAGAAGAAATGTCATGTGAGAACAAGCTCTGCCTAGGCTTTGGCTGCACCTCTTGGGGGGGTCTGTGTTTGCATGGGGTGCACAGCTGTAGCTGAGGTGCCACCTGCAATTATGAGCAAGAAGAAGCGCACGTAATTCCTGAGCGTTGTTACCACTTCATGCCACCCCCCATGGGTCCATGAGTCCACTCAGATTGTTCTGATAACATTGGTGTGAAATGGAAATTAATTTCCTTGTTAGAGAAAAACCACCCCAAGACCTGTTGTGTGTGGCTCACATCAGTGACTCTGTCTCTCTCGTTTTGTGGTCTGGAACTATCCATCATCCATTTCTTGAATGAGTCTCCTGGGGAATTTTATTCCTCACCTCCACTCTGCCTCCAGTAACTTCAGAGATCAAAGTTTCCGTTTCTGTGGTGCTCTTATTGCTAAGTTGGTTCAACTTTTTTTTGAAGGAGTTGCCACTTCCTGTGGGTCCATCTGTTCTAGGAAGGAAAAAATAGGCTCACCTCCTGATCTGCGGTCCAGATGTTCGCGCTGTGTTTCCATCACAGCAGGTTGTTAGAAGAATGGTAACTTCCTCTGATATCTAAGCATAGTTTCTCCTCTTCCTTCCCTACCCTTTTTTTCCTTGTGTGATGTGTCTTCTAAATTGGGAACTCAAGCAATAATGCAATCACACTACAAATTTTTGTAAGATACATTGGCTGCTTTTCTTAATCTAGAAAGTGGAGTAGAAATGCTATTGGTACATGACGGAAGGTTTCTGGGAGTTTCAGTCCAAGACCGTCTGGGGACTCAAGGTTGGGAACCGCTGCTATAAATGATAGTTGGGTTTTGAGATTTATTTTTATTACTCCATTCTAAAGAATGGTAGATCTGATCAAGATCCCTGTAGCTTATACCGAAACAATTATCTCTCCTTATAAACAAACGGAATGCATTAACAACCAGAATAAAGCACACTGAAACAATAGATTTAAACGTTCTTTGGCTGCAATCTTATACACCCAGTTACCCAGGGAACCTGTTTCATTGAACACAATAGGAATTAACTTCTTATGAGTAGATGTGTGTAAGACTGGACTGTTTCAGTTTCATCTAGATTGGAACCTGTGAGGTCATCACCACCAATATTTTTAAAACCATCCTTTCCCAACCATGTTACCTTCTTGTTTCAATTTCATCTAGATTGGAACCTTTGCGAGGTCATCACCACCAATATTTTTTTAAACCATCCTTTCCCAACCATGTTACCTTCCAGGTGTACTGACCACAGCTCCCACTGGGGATGATGAGAATTGTAAGCTAACACCTAGAGCAGTGGTTCCCAAGTTCGGGTAACCCAACTGCTTTTGGACTGTAACTCCCGGAAGCTGTGCTGGTGGTGAAGTCTTCTGGGAGTTGTAGTCCAAGAACATTTGGGTTACCTAAGGTTGGGAACCATTGACCCAGAAGACGGCTGGGGTGCAGAAGATTCCTCTAAGACTGTTTTGAATTCGTTTCTTCCTTGTTCTGCAGCATTAAAAGACCATCCGTGAAATTCAGCCCTTTCTCACATTGGGTAAAAACCTCACATGAAATATAAAGCCTTTCATAACACAAAAATACAGATGATTCCAGGTTTGTTTACTTTTCATTATTTTTCTGAAATGATTTTATTTTATTTTTTAGTTCAAACACTTGACAGACTCCTGGTATAATACCTTTCTCCTCGCTTTTACTTTGTTTTCTTTCCACTTTCTGATCTATTTATCATTTTTTTTTTAAAAAAATGTCAACCTCCTGATTTACTGTCGGGGACTTGCAATTTGAGAAGCATTTTGAAAAGGTTTATGTTCACATCTTCTCTTAAGTGTCCCAAGATCATTGAAATCTGCTATCTCGAACAAGCAAAGAAAATCTGAGACAGAATAACCTTATGTCCTAGTAAGGTCTTGATAAAATAACAATATATGGCACAGAAAACCAGATATATAGTGATGACAACAAAGCCAGGAAGCATTAATGTTCATTTGGTTCAAGCTGCTTGGAGCCCCTGCATGCTTGCATTGATCACATAGGCAGCCTGTAGCATGACGAGGAAGAAGCATCTTATCCAGAAATTTGGGTGTGTGTGTGTGTATGTGAAGCATGGCCCTTTTCTCCTCAAGCCACGAGCTGCTCCTGCAGGATGTTATCTTCTTAGTGGAGTAGTTGGTGCAAGCAGCAGGCTGGCTGACTTGTTACCAAGAACGTGGTGGCATTAATTTTGTAAGGCACCTGATGCAGGGGGGTGGCTTGGCCGGTTGTTCAACCAAAGCAGGTGAGTGGGCTGTCCTGGAGGATCTGAGGTTGATGGAGAAGCCTAAGCAAAAGGGTGTGGCTCTAAATCTCAAGATCTTCTTAGGAAGAGCTAACAAATGCCTGCGCCTGTAGTCACAAAGACTGCAGAGAAGCCATGATCTCATTCTCACATTGCACTTTCATCTCAGGCCCTGAGTATCAGGTCAATAGAGAGAGGGGAATAATGAACAGTTAGTTGATTCAGGACTTCCTATACATAAGTCCGTCCCTTCCTTCCTTCCTTCCTTCCTTCCTTCCTTCCTTCCTTCCTTCCTTCCTACCTAC